GCCCACAGTTTACCAGTTTACATTTTTATGGCCAGTTTATCTTGTCAGTGAACCCCTAAGCATTTACTAAGTAAAAATTTTCCATCAAACATGGTGAGAAATTATTTTGCCCTTTAAAGGAGTTAACACTTTGGACTTGACGTCTTGTAGCTTAGCAGCTGGGGTGCTGGCCACATACAAGGGGCCTGGCGAGTTCAAACACAGCTTAGGCCTGCTAAATGACAACTACAACAACAAAAGCTGGGCATTGTGGTGGGCGCCTGTAGACCCAGCCGCTCAGGAGGCTGAGGCAAGAGAATCGCTTGAGCCCAAGAGTTTGAGGTTGCTGTGACGCCACAGCACTCTACTGAAGGCAACATAGTGAGACTCTATCTCAGAGTTTTAGTTACCTGTATAATTTACTAGTGCAGAAAATTGTACTGCTTGATGAATCAGCAGCTTGATGAATAAAAATACAGCACAACTGTATTCTTGCAGTCTCTACAAAATCTTATTTTATCCTTTTATTGTGATAGGGGAATGCAGTGACAGTATCATGTAAAATCGACAGTAATGGGCCTGACGCCTGTAGCTCAGCGGCTAGGGTGCCAGTCACATACACCGGAGCTGGTGGGTTCAAACCCCGCCCGGGCCTGCCAAACAACAAAGACAACTCCAACCAAAAAAAATAGCTGGGCATTGTGGCGGGCACCGGCAGTCCCAGCTACTTGGGAGTCTGAGGCAAAAGAATCGCTTAAGCCCAAAAGTTGGAGGTTGCTGTGAGATGTGACACCATGGCATTCTACCCAGGGCAACAGCTGGAGACTGTCACAAAAAAAAAATAAATAAATAAAAACAAATAAATAAAATCGATAGTAATGACTGTGACCTATCTCTATCATCATTTTAGGTTTCTTTTTCTTTATCCAAAACCCTTTCTTTTTTGTTTATTCAAGATTCATGAATAAGAATTTTAGGGTAGGTGCCTGTAGCCCAGTGGTTAGGGCACCAGCCACATGCTCCAGGGCTGGTGGGTTCGAGCCCAGCCCGGGTCTGCTAAACAAAAAAATGAAAACAAACCAAAAAAACCTAGGCAGGCGTTGTGATGGGCACCTGTAGTCCCAGCTACTCAGGAGGCTGAGGCAAGAGAATTACTTGAGTCCAAGAGTTTGAGGTTGCTATAAGCTATGACACCATAGCCCTCTACTGAGGGTGACAAAGTGAGACTGTCTCAATTAAAAAAAAAAAAAGTCTCAGCGCCTGTAGCTCAAGCTGCTAAGGCACCGGCCACATACACCAGAGCTGGTGGGTTCGAATCCAGCTGGGCTTACCAAACAATAACTACAACCAAAAAATAGCTGGGTGTTGTGGCAGGTGCCTGTAGTCCCAGCTACTTGGGAGGCTGAGGCAAGAGAATCACTTAAGCCCAAGAGTTAGAGGTTGCTGTGAGCTGTGACATCATAGCACTCTACCCAGGGCGACAGCTTGAGGCTCTCTCTCAAAAAAAAAAAAAAAAAAAAAGGATTTTAGTGCATATAGAAGACCCAATCTTACACCTCATCTGCTCACATCTAGGAATATCAGCTGATTAAAGGCATTTAACATGTTTCTTTTTCGCCAACAACTTTATTTAAAACAAGAAAACTTTTCCTTCAGTAAGATTATTTCAGAAGTTGCTAGTCATCTCTGAGCCTCAATCCAGTAATAAGCAACTATGGCACCAGCACAAGGGGAAAGCTTTTGATCGTGGGGTCAGTGGTTTCATTAAACACATGAGTATGTTGCTGTAAGGCAAATGACTCTAGCTGGGACAGTCTAGCTCAGTAACATGTGCATATCGACAAACAAAAGAGTACTGCTTGGACTCATACCCAGTCAGTTCTCTTGTTGACTATACCTTTGCCAAATGGCCACAAATTCATTTTTATGGGGCTATGTATCTAAATATGTTCATTCTCCTTATAAAGAAAGGTTTTAATCCCACACCCTTTTCTGAAATAAAAGCTCCTTGAAAAATATGAAAGGTCAGGAAAACAAAAGCTTAGGAAGGTTTCTGATATTAAACCACCAGTTCTTTTAAAATAATCGTATTTTCCAGCATGAAACTGGAGGTGAAAATAAAATAAAATAAAATAATCATATTGCATGAACACATGCATGCTGGTGTAGCAAAATACAAGTAAGATTAATCAATAAAGTTCTAGAAGTTGTACTCAGAGGAACACAATGCTATAAAGACTGACAGTTAAGACAAACCTAAAACACTCATATGTGGTAATGATTAAAACAAGAACAGAGTTTAAGGTGAATAGATAGGTTTCTGAAGGCTATCATTACATAAAAGATGGAAGGCTCCACTGTCTACAAAAACTGTGATATAAAATTTGTGGTATAGTTTAAAAAAAAAAAAAAAGCTAAAAGGCCCCAGAGAAAAACAAATATTTTTGCACAGCATTTCTTAATGTCTAATTGTGTAGTGTTTTCACCATTAAAATCAAGGTAACTACTTTATCTTTTGGCTTTCAGATGGAATTTTAGAAAATATTTAGCAAGAAAATAGTCCTGAAAGTGCTTTCTCATAAGTTCTTTGGTATAATTTGGTCATTTTGATAGTAATTAACCCATTAGATAAGTGCTTAAAGGTTCATGTATCAAGGAAAATGCAACTAGGAGTACAAATGCTTAGAAAACCACAACTGAAGAATAAATTATGCTTTGACCTCATGGAAAACACCAAAATTCTACTTGTGTTTCTGTGGCAAAGATATCCACACTGCCTGCAAGAATATTTCTAACTCAATTTGTATTAAAGAAATGTTACATAAAACTGTTCTACATTTTTTAAAGTAAAAGAGGAAAGTTTTAGCTTGAAGAAAGAATAAATTTGAACTGCATAAAGTTATACTCTTTTGTGCCTTATGATTCAGTGAATGTCAACAGTTAGAATTTAATGTCAGTTTGCAGAATGTTAAGGATTATTCTTGTTCTTCAGGCAACAGCTAATTTTCCTCTTGCAGCATTTTCTCTATTTCCTTATCCCAGTTTTCATCTCGTTTTTCTGATTCCGCCACCACTTCATATTCTTGAAGTTCCTGTTGTAGTTCTTTTTCCCAGTCTGCAGAATCCTCTTCCAGAACAGTGGTCTTCTCTTGCTTTTTGTCAAGCACTAGTTGTTCCATTTCTTTTCTTAGATCTTCTTGATTAAGGTTGCAGGCATCAAAGGCATCACTGACAAACTCAGAAACACCTGGACTAGTAGAAATTTCTTCCTCATCCTCTTGAGTTTTAAGCTGAGATTTGATTACAACAGGTGGTGTTTTGGGCCGTACTGCCTCTAAGAAGTGAGAATAAAAGAAACAATAATTGCTTGATTCAGTTCTGAATACATATTATAATCATAACTAAAATATACAGCAACTTCCAACTCCCAAGTCACTGTAATTTATATTTACATTTATTTATTATTTTTTGAGACAGAGTCTCAAGCCATCACTTTGGGCTAAAGTGACCTATGACCATGTCATAGCTCACAGCAACCTCCAGCTCTTGGACTCAAGCAATCCTCTTGCCTCGGTTTTTCTATTTTTAGTAGAGATGGAGTCTCACTTTTTGCTCAGGCTGGTTTTGAACCTATGAGCTTAAGCTATCCACCCACCTCAGCCTCCTTGAGTGCTAGGATTACAGGTGTGAGCCACCTTGCCCGCCAAGTAACCATAATTTTTATAATGTCTCAGCCACTATAATTCTTAATATCTCAGGTTTCATCACTGTGTGTGCTCAGAAAAACTAAACAAATGTTAATAGTCTTCAAAGAGAAACATAATTAAAAAGGCAAATTTGGGCTCGGCGCCTATAGCTCAACCGGCTAAGGCACCAGCCATGTACACCTAAGGTGGCGGGTTCGAATCCCCAGCCCGGGCCCGCCAAACAACAATGACGGCTGCAACCAAAAAATAGCCGGGCATTGTGGCAGGTGCCTGTGGCCCAGGCTACTTGGGAGGCGGAGGCAGGAGACTCGCTTGAGCCCAGGAGTTGGAGGTTGCTGTGAGCTGTAATGCCACGGCACTCTACCCAGGGGGACAGCTTGAGGCTCTGTCTCAAAAACAAAACAAAACAAAAAAAAAAAAACACGCAAATTTGTTTTGTTTTCTTTTTTTGAGACAGAGTCTCATCTCATTGCCCTCAGTTGAGTGCGATGGAGTCATAGCTCACAGCAACCTCGAACTCCTGGGCTTAAGCGATCCCCTTGCCTCAACCTCCCAAGTAGCTAGGATTACAGGTGGTCACCACAAAGCCCAGCTGTTCTTTAGAGACAGGGTCTCACTCTTGCTCAGGCTGGTCTCAAACTCATGAGCTCAAGCAATCCACCCACCTTAGCCTCTCTAGAATGACAGGCATGAGCCACCACACCCAGCCTACAATATATTTTTACACACTGGCTTCAGAATAACAATGTTCTACAATCAACTTTGGAATTAGGAAAAAAATTTCCTTGTTTTGTTTAGCTTTTTACCTTCCAGAACAGTGGTCTTCTCTTGCTTTTTGTCAAGCACTAGTTGTTCCATTTCTTTTCTTAGATCTTCTTGATTAAGGTTGCAGGCATCAAAGGCATCACTGACAAACTCAGAAACACCTGGACTAGTAGAAATTTCTTCCTCATCCTGAAATGCAACAAATGAGCTTTTGAGATGGTTTTCTAAGCAACCTTTGTGTGTCAGAATTTTGGTTTATGGTAGCCTCACAATTTAAAGCAGCCCAATTTTCATTGCCTTCTTCTGCTAGCTGTGAGATATGATCGCTGCTCTCTAACCTTCCAACTTGCACAGTTGCTTAGTAACTAAAAGTTACCACCTGAGGCTATTTTTCTCACTCACAGTTTGAATCACTCCAGCCATTCTCTCCAATCCCTGATGAGCACATCTAGAATTATATATGCCAGTAAATCACCTTATGTCTCAGCTCTAGGTCCGTGACTATTCAAGCACTGAATACTTCTTTAAAACAGATAAGACTCATATTCATAAGTAGTTTTAAATGGTATCAGAGACAGTTAACAGTTTATTTCTAGACATCAACTAGTAGGTACAATGTAAAACTGTATTACCTCTTGAGTTTTAAGCTGAGATTTGATTACAACAGGTGGTGTTTTGGGCCGTACTGCCTCTAAGAAGTGAGAATAAAAGAAACAATAATTGCTTGATTCAGTTCTGAATACATATTATAATCATAACTAAAATATCCAACAAATATGATGCTAAATAATTTTCAGAAAAAACTTTTAGGTTATGCTTTTGCGTTTTTGTAAGGTTTTTTTTTTTTTTTGAGACAGAGCCCCTGGGTAGAGTGCCATGACATCATGCTCACAGCAACCTCCAACTCCTGGGCTCAAGCGAGTCTTCTGCCTCAGCCTCCCAAGTAGCTGGGACTACAGGCGCCCGCCACAACGCCTGGCCATTTTTTTTGGTTGCAGCCATCATTGTTGTTTGGCGGGCCGGGCTGGGGATTCGAACCTGCCACCTTAGGTGTATGTGGCTGGCGCCTTAGCCGCTTGAGCCACAGGCGCCGAGCCGTTTTTGTAAGTTATTAAAAGAAATAGCCATGTAACTTCTTACGTTAGAGGATTTTTTTGTTTTCTTTTTTGAGACAGAGCCTCCCTATGTTGCCCTGGGTAGAGTGCCATGACGTCACAGCTCACAGCAACCTCAAATTCTCGGGCTTAAGTGATTTTCTTGCCTCAGCCTCCTAAGTTGCTGAGACTACAGGCGCCTGCCACACTGCCTGGATACATTTTTGTTGTAGCTGTCATTGTTGTTTAGCAGGCCTGGGCTGAGTTCAAACTTGCCAGCCCTAGTGTATGTGGCCAGAGCCCTAACCACTGAGTGATGGGCACCAAACCTTTATTTTTATTTATTTTTTTTTGAGACAGAGTTTCAAGCAGTCACCCTGGGTAGAGTGCCATGACATCATAGCTCACAGCAACCTCCAACTCTTGGGCTTAAGGCAGCGATTCTCTTGCTTCAGCCTTCCAAGTAGATGGAACTACAGGCACCTGCCACAATGCCTGGCTATTTTTTTTTTTAAATTGCATTTGGCATTGTTACTTTAGCTGGCCCAAGTCAGGTTCGAACCCATCAGCCTCAGTGTATGTGGCTGGCACCCCACCTGCTGAGATATGGATGCCACCTAGCATCAAGCCTTTAGAGGATATTTTTTTTGGGGGGGGGGGAATGGAGCCTCAAGCTATTCCCCTGGGTAGAGTGCCGAGCCACAAAACATATTTTTAAATTATCACTACAGGCTCGGCGCCTGTCGTCCCAGCTACTTGGAGGCTGAGGCAAGAGAATTACTTAAGCCCAAGAATTTGAGGTTGCTGTGAGCTGTAATGCAATGGCACTCCACCAAGGGCCACATAGTGAGACTCTGTCTCAAAAATAAAATAAATTAATTAATTAAAATAAATCAACAGGCTCGGCACCTGTGGCTCAAGTGGCTAAGGTGCCAGCCACATACACATAAGGTGGCGGGTTCGAATCCAGCCCGGGCCCGCCAAACAACGATGACGGCTGCAACCAAAAAAAAAAAAAAATAGCTGGGCATTGTGGCGGGCGCCTGTGGTCCCAACTACTTGGGCGGCTGAGGCAGGAGACTCGCTTGAGCCCAGGAGTTGGAGGTTGCTGTGAGCTGTGATACCACAGCACTATACCCAGGGCAACAGCTTGAGGCTGTGTTGCAAAAAAATAAATAAAATCAACTGCAATGAAAAACAGAATTGCTATTAATATAAAGGTTGAAATGAGCTTGACTTCTTTTATGTACCAGAAATACTTATCATCTTACAGAAACATTTTTTTTCCGTAGAGAAAATCTTCATTTTTCTCTTGTTGACCTCTCTCTGACCCAGTTCACACATGCTTCCCCAATCTTTGTTTGACTGTGTGCTTTTCTCATTCCCTGGATTTCTTTTGTTTTGTTTTTAAATTTTTTTTTTTTAAGAGGTACGATATTGCTTTGTCCTCCAAGACAAAGGCTGCAATGCAGTAGTATAATCACAGCTCACTGCACCCTCAAATTCCTATGCACAACCTCTGGAATACCTGGGACTATAGGTGTCAGGTGCCACGCCTGGCTAATTTTTTAACTTTTTTGTAGAGACTGGATCTCACTGTGTTTTCCATGCTGACCTCAAATTCCCAGGCTCAAGCCATCTTCCCATCTCAGCCTCCTAAGTAGTGGGATCATAGACATGCCCCACCACACTATTGTGTATGTTTTGCAGTGAGGGGGGCATTAGTTCTTCCTTTTTTTATTTTTTTTTTGAGACAAGGGCTTAGTTTGTCACCCACAGTAGAGTGCTGTGGTGTCACAGCCTCACAGCAACCTCAAAATCTTGGGCTCAGGCAATCCTCTTCCCTCAGCCTCCCCAGTAGCCAAGACAACAGGTGTCCACTACATGCCTGGCTAGTTTTTTTATTTTTACTAGATACAGGGTCTCGCTCTTGCTCAGACTGGTCTCAAACTCCTGAGCTCACACAATCCACCCACCTCAGCCTCCAGAACGCTAGGGTTACAGGTATGAGCCACTATGACTAGCCTCATGTAACTTTTCTATCTTCTGTCCTCTACTCTGATTCAATCATCTCCTTTTTGTTTCTCTTTTTTTTTTTTTTTTTTGAGACAGAGCCTCAAGCTGTCCCCCTGGGTAGAGTGCCGTGGCATAGCTCACAGCAACCTCCAACTCCTGGGCTCAAGCGAGTCTCCTGCCTCAGCCTCCCAAGCAGCTGGGACCACAGG